AGCAAGGATCTTGTCAACTGCCTCCCAATGCTGGACTCGTGGGGCATGCATGTATTGACTTACTACACTCACTGCATAGGAGATGTCTGGTCTTGTCATACACAAGTATAGCAGCCGACCCACAAGTCTCTGATATCTCCCAATGTCCTTTACTGGTTCACCTTCTGTTGCACTGATTTTATGGTTCTGATTAATAGGGTTGCTAATTGCCTTTGTTCCAAGCTTCCTTGTCTCTTGAAGAAGGTCCAAGACATACTTCCTTTGAGAGATAAAAATTCCATGTTTTGATTTTGCAACTTCGATGCCTAAGAAGTATCTCATTCCCAGTGACAATAATATCATCCACATAAACAATTAGGACTGACACCAAAGATCCCCTGTGCTTCATAAACAAAGTGTGATTGGATTGAGTTTGAGTGTAGCCAAAATCAATCAAGGCCTTTCTGAATCTGTCAAACCATGCTCTGGGAGATTGTTTCAAGCCATATAGTGACTTCTTAAGCCTGCATACYTTTCCCTTTTCAGTATCATTGTAGAAACCAGCAGGAAGATCCATATACACTTCTTGCAGATCCCCATTTAGGAAAGCATTTTTCACATCTAGTTGAAACAAGGACCAAGAGTATGAGGTAGCAAGGGAAAGGAGTATCCGAACGGAGGTCATCTTTGCAACTGGCGCAAAGGTCTCTAAATAATCAATGCCATAGGTCTGCGTGTATCCTTTTGCGACAAGTCTTGCCTTGTACCTCTCTATACTTTCATCTGCCTTATATTTTATTGTGTAAACCCATCTGCATCCAACCGTCTCCTTGCCTTCTGGTAGGTCCACAATGTCCCATGTCTTATTCTTAATCAAAGCATCCATCTCTTCCTGCATAGCTGTCTTCTACTCAGGTTTGGAGAGAGCCTCACTAACACCCTTGGGTATAGACACATAATCAAGAGAAGAGAGAAAAGCACGATAGGATGGAGAAAGTCCACTGTAGGATAAGTACTGTGAAATACAATGAGCAGTACACTTTCTCTTCCCTTTTCTAAGAGCAATAGGGAGATCAAGGTTATCGGTAACAGAGTTAGTAGGATCAATGGGAACTGAAATAGTAGCGGGATCAAGAGGAATACCTGAATCCATATTAGCTGAATCTGGAGTCTCCAAGGGATCGACAGGAAGTGGTGTGAGTTCTGCTGTAGTGGAATCAACCGCCTTGTGAAGTCTCTGTCGTGAGTAATGCTGAGAAACAGAGCGCAAAGGAGGTGGCAAGGTAGGTGGCACCGGGTGGTAGTCAAGCACAAGAGGTGACATAGGGACTGGAACTGGGAGAGGGATAGACTGCCGACTTACTTCCCCAAAACACTCCCCCTGAGAAGGATTCTGTGAGAAGAAGTACATGGATTAAAAAAAGGTGACATCCATGGTAACATATCGGTTCTCAGAGATTGGATCATAGCAGCGGTACCCTTTCTGATTATCTACATATCCAAGGAAGACACACTTCTTTGCCTTGGGATCAAACTTCGAGCGGTGAGGATCAAGGATGTGTGCAAAGCAGACACACCCAAACACCCTGAGAGGAACATGAAACATCTCCTCCTGAGGAAAAAGAAGGCTGAATGGAGTGCTGAATCCAAGTATACGAGAAGGCACCCTGTTAATCAGATATACTGCTGTGAGAACTGCATCACCCCAAAACCGAACCGGAACTGTAGATGTGATCATCATGCTTCTTGCGGTCTCAACAATGTGTCTGTTCTTCCTTTCTGCAACACCATTCTGTTGTGGACTGTAGGAGCAGCTGCTCTGATGGACAACACCATATTCTAACAAGTACGAGGCAAGATGTCTTTCAAAATATTCCCTGGCATTGTCAGATCTGAACACCTTTATTCTTGTTCCAAAYTRTGTTAGTAYCATCTGATGAAATTGCCGCACCAAGGATGGTACTTCATCGCGGGATTTCATCAGGTAAATCCAAGAGTATCGAGAGAAATCATCCACAAATAGGAGAAAATAGCGATAGCCTCCCATAGAAGGAACATAGTAAGGACCCCACACATCCGAATGAATAACATCAAAAGAAGAAGAACATCTTTTATTACTAGGTTTAAAAGAATGTCTACAATGCTTTCCAAGTTGACAACCTTCACACTTCAAACTTGACAGACTAACAGACTCAAAAAGTTTTGGAAACAAAAAACTTAAAGAAGAAAAAGACAAATGTCCCAAACAATTATGCCAAAGCATAATCTGACTCACAGATCCTGACTCATTGTCCCTGCTAACATGATGACTCTGGTGAGGGAACATCCAGGAGGTAGATTCCATTCACTTCACGACCACTCCCAATCGTCCTCTTTGAATCCAGATCCTGCAAAATACAACGTCCAGGAGAAAAAATTACTGAGCAGTTAAAATTCTTAGTCAAACTACTAATAGATAACAAATTTGTGCTCAATCTGGGAACATGAAGGATAGAGGGTAAACAAATAGAATCATTAATCTTGACAGATCCCTTCCCAACAATAGGAACATGGGATCCATCAGCAATGGAGACTCTATCTTTGCCAGAACAGAGCTGGTAAAAGGAAAAAATAGTGGAGCTATGGGTCATGTGCTCTGAGGCTCCAGAATCTATAATCCAAGGAGGTCCCTCCTTACCTGAAGCGGAAACATAATTTGCAGTGACGTGTGAACTACCTGTGTGAGCAAAGGAGGTAGAGTGAGCTCCACCAGTGCCACCTGTACCTTGTTGTCCGCTTGCG